GAAGCACTACTGAATTTCATGTTGCTTCCTGTGGACACATAGTCAGCATTTGAATTTCACGTTGCTTCCTGTGGACACGTAGTCAGCATTTGAATTTCACGTTGCTCCCTGTGGACACGTAGTCAGCATTTGAATTTCACGTTGCTCCCTGTGGACACGTAGTCAGCATTTGAATTTCACGTTGCTCCCTGTGGACACGTAGTCAGCATTTGAATTTCACGTTGCTCCCTGTGGACACGTAGTCAGCATTTGAATTTCACGTTGCTCCCTGTGGACACGTAGTCAGCATTTGAATTTCACGTTGCTCCCTGTGGACACGTAGTCAGCATTTGAATTTCACGTTGCTCCCTGTGGACACGTAGTCAGCATTTGAATTTCACGTTGCTCCCTGTGGACACGTAGTCAGCATTTGAATTTCACGTTGCTCCCTGTGGACACGTAGTCAGCATTTGAATTTCACGTTGCTCCCTGTGGACACGTAGTCAGCATTTGAACTTTAGGAGGGCCCTTCCAGGTCAGTTTGCTTTCTTTCTGGTTAGCAAAGTCTCTCTAGATGTTACTTTGACAAAATACTCTTTCTCTGAAAGTCAAGTTTCCACACTACACTTCAAATTCTGGTGTGGAAATGGAAATTGAGGCAGTCAGGGAGTGGCAGCACACATGTCTGATCCCAGAGTGTGGGAGGTGGAAGCAGGAGAAAGGTCAGGAGTGTTCAGACAGGAGCCTTGCCTTTGGCTTCTCAATGCTGCGGTTCTGGTCTTGCCACAAGTGTGGATTGTGTTTTCATCATTTTTTCTCTCTCCCTCCAGGTGCCCAGATGACTATTATGAGCCAGGCTTGTGCAGAAAGGTGTAATATAATGAGACTGGTGGACCGTCGGTGGGCTGGGATTGCCAAAGGAGTAGGCACACAGAAGATTATTGGAAGGGTACATCTAGGTGAGAAAAGGGCATTTGGGGCCACTGTCTTTTTGTAGGTATTTGTAGGGTGCTAAGTTTCAGACTTTCGGATTAAAACTTTTTGTCACTTTTTGTGTTTTTGTTTTTTTGGTCATTTTGAGACAGGGTCTCCCTGTAGAGCTCCAGCTGCCTGGAACTCATGGAGGATCCGCCTGCCTCTGCCTCCCAGAGTGCTGGGATTAAAGGCATGTGCCACCAAGCCTGGCCTTTTTTTCTTTTTTTTTTTTAATGTTTGTTTATTTTATTTGATCTTTTTGAGAGAGGGTCTCCTTGTAGCCCCAGCTAACCTGGAACTTACTATGTAGACCAGGCTGGCCTTGATCTGCCTGCCTCTGTGTCCCCAGTGCAGGATTAAAGGTGTGTGCCACCATGCCCAGCTATAATGTTTATTTTTATGTGTATGTTTTGTCTGTGTGTATGTAAGTGCACGCATGCATGCAAGACCCATGGAGGCCAGAAGAGTGTGTCAGATCCCCTGGAACTAGAGTTAAAGATGGTTGTTAGGCACCCCGTGGGTGCTGAGAATCGGTTCTCTGGAAGACTAACCAGTGGTCTTAACCATTGAGCCATCTCTTTAGCCCCATAGCTTTGTTTTAAATTCTTCTTCTTCTTTTTCTTTTTCTTTTTCTTTTCTTTTTTTTTTTTTTGGTCTTTTTGAGACAGGGTCTCCCTGTAGCCCCAGCTGGCCTTGATTCACTGTGGAGACCAAGCTAGCCTCTGCCTCCCGAGTGCTGGGATTAAAGGCGTGTACCACCATGCCCAGCCACATTCTTACTTTTCTAGACCTACTCCATAGATAGCTTTCTTAGAAAGGATATCTGAGAGTGGTATTAGAGCAGGACTTATTTTTCTTAGTGCACTCTTCTCTCTCTGTCTCTCTGTCTTTCTGTGTGTGTGTGTGTGTGTATGCGTGTGTGTACAAGTTTGTACCTATGTGGGTCAGAGGACAACTTTGTGGAGAGTGTGTGTATGTACACACGCGTGCATGCATATTCATACCTATGTGAGTAAGAGGATAACTTTGTGGAGTGTGTGTGTGTATGTGTGTGTGTACGTACCTGTGTGGGTCAGAGGACAACTTTGTGGAGTCAGGCCATCCTGGGCTACATGAGACTCTACCTCAAAAACAAAGAAAAAAAACAAAACTATCCTAAATGTCCTGACTTTCAAGGGAAGAGGGTGTGATACTTGGTGCATAGTATGGGGGTTCTTTACTAATTTCTTTTTGAAAATTACAGGATTTTAATTAATTAACTTTTCAGGTGGCGGGGGGCTGCTCCCCCACTTCTATCTTTACATGAGTTCCAGGAGCAGAATTTGTATTGATAGACTTTTTTTCTAAATATTTTATTATTTTTATGTATATGTGTGTATTGCCTGCATGTAGGTGAGTGCACCTGTGTCATGCAATGCCCAAGGAGGACAGAAGAGGCTGTCGGATCCCCTGGAACTTGAGTTATGGACAGTTGTTAGCTGCCATGTGGGTGCTGGGGTTTGAACCTGGGTCTTCTGCAAGAACAGCCAGTGTTCTTAACCTCTGAGCCATCTCTCCAGCCCCCATGCATTGATAGACTTGTGGCAAGTGCTTTTACCTGCTGAGCTATCTTGCTGGCCCTAGAACATGACCTCTTTTCCTCCATCCTACTAGCCTGTTTGCTCAGAAAGTATTTCCTTCACAATGTTGAGGCTCTGCTTGTTAACCCTTTGTTGTCAGCTTTGCTGGAGACCAGCTGGCTGTTTGGGTGTGTGACCTTTATTTTTATTTTTTATTTTTGTTTATTTGTTTTGAGGGGGGTTTTATTTGTTTATTTTTATAGTGGTGGTGGTGGGGAGAGGACACCCTACAAATAAAACCAGTGGTTTGCTTCCATAATGATTCTAGATTAACTTCACAGGTCTTTTATTGCCAGAATAAGCAAGACACACCAACCTATAGTTACAAACACAATTAAGATGTGAGGTTTTTGTGTGTGTGAGATTTGTTTTGGGTTTGTTTTTTATAACTTTGTGTAATTCTTAGAATGAATTTTGTAGATGACAGTGTCAAGAAGCTGTATACTCACGCAGGTCTAAATTACCTCCCTTTCTAAATACCAACACCAAAGGATGATCTGGATTCTAGAAGATAGCTATAGAGATAGATCCAAGAATGGAAGTCTTAGAGCAGAGAAGTTTGAGGAAATGTTGTTGGGACAGTTGAATGTCCATGTGGAGAGAGGAACTGGAGATGGAACCCCGTCTTACAGCATAGCCTAAATTATCCAGGTGGATTAAATAGTTCAGTGGATAAAGTACATTCTATGCAAGCATGGATCCCCCAGCACCCATGTGAAAGCCAGGTGTGGTGGTACATGTCTATAACCTCAGCACTACAGGAAGAGACAGGCAGATCCCAGGGACTGCTGAGACAACCAGCCTAACAAATGGTGAGCTCCAGGAGAGACCCTCTCTCAAAAGAGAAAGTGGAAAGTAATAGAGGAAGACACTCAGCATCACCTCTGACCTCCTTGTGTGTGCATTGACAAGTACACCTGCACATACACTTGAGAGAGACAGAATGTTTTAGCTGGTGCCACACTCCTGTAATCTCAGCACTTGGCCAGTGGAGGCAGGACAATCAGGAGTTCAAAGCCAGATGTCATGGTGCATGCCTTTAATCCCAGCACTTGGGAGGCAGAGTTCAATCTCTGTGAGTTCAAGGCCAGCTGGGTTTACATAGTTCCAGGGCTGCAGGAACTCCCCGTCTCAAAAAAACAAACAACAAAACTGAAGCGTGATAGCCCATCCTGTCCACACTGTATGAGCTCAGGTCTCCATTGACCTCTCCACCTGTTAGATAGGGTCATCTCCACAGCTTGCCTGGGATTTGTGAAACCAACATCAATAAGTAATCTCTTCTTGTGTGCTTTAGCTCAGGTTCAGATTGAAGGAGATTTCCTTGCGTGTTCCTTCTCTATACTTGAAGAGCAGCCTATGGACATGCTTCTGGGACTGGACATGCTTAAACGACATCAGGTAATCAGCAGTTTCTCTCGTGTGTGGTGGGGGAGGGCAGAGGTTACCAACACTTGTCTTACCAGTCTTCTGTACCTTATGTTTTTGAGATGGGCTCTCAGTGAATAACCCAGAAGTCACTGATTTGGCTAGACTGGCTAGTCAGCAACCTCCAGAGACCCTCCCATCTCTGCCTCTAGTGCTTGCATTACACACATGTAGTAACACAGGCTTTTTCTTTTTCTTTTGTTTCTTTTTTTTTTTTTTTTTTTTTTTTTTTTTTGAGACAGTGTCTCTCTATAACCCCAGCTGTCCAGGAACTCGCTATGTAGACCAGGCTGGCCTTGAACTCACAGAGATTCGCCTGCCTCTGCCACCCGAGTGCTGGGAAAACATTTTACCAACTAAGCAACACAGTACACCGTGGACTCTGAATGAAGCTTTTGCTATGTGGAACTCATACAAGCTTTTCTCACGCTTGTAGTGCTCTCTGTCGCCTGGTGGTGGGATTACAGGTGTGCACCGTCATTATTTCAATTGGTTATATATATTGGCAAACCAAGAAGCATGATTTTTCAAACCTGGAAATGTCCTTGGTTGCTTCTTTTGTCATACAAGGGTTGACATGATAGGTCGTCAGAAATAGAATCTGTCCTTGTAAAATCTCTCTAAGGATGTGTTCTTTGTCTATTTTGACATCATAATGAACAGTTTGATTCCATTGTGTAATTTTAAGGTTCTGATAAGAAATCACATAGGTTTTGGATGGTTTATTGGAAAGGTTCAGTAAATCTTTTTTCTTAGACGCTGATTAGACAATTCTTAGAAGGAACTTTGATATTAAAGAAAATGTGGGGAATGTAATTCCAGCACTTAGGAGGCAAGGCGGATCTCTGAGTTCAAGGCCAGTGTGGTCTACATAGTTCCAGGCCAGCTGGGGCTGCAGGGAGACCCTGTCTCCAAAAAAGAGACCTACTCCCTTCACTGAAGAACATTAGTACCTTCTGGGGATTTCACAGTAGGTTTTGTGTCTACGATTTTCTGGTGATTGTTATGATGATATGGATTAAACCGAGAACCTTGAGTTTGCTAGGCAAGTGTTGTACAGCTAAGTTACAACCCTGATCCATAGTAGGTTGTTTGGGTGGGGGGGCGTTCTTTTTGAGACAGGGTCTCCCTGTAGCCCCAGCTAGCTTGGAACTCTCTTATGTAGACCAGGCTGGCCTGGAACTCACAGGGATCTGCCTGCCTCTGCCTCCCGAGTATTGGGACTAAAGGTGTGCGCCACCACGCCCGGCTTCATAGTAGGTTTTTATATGTAGTCAGTTGTTTTTTTTGTCTTTTTGAGGCAGGGTCTCTGTAACCCCAAAAGGCCTGGAACTCACTGTGAAGACCAGGCTGGCCTCGAACTCACAGAGATCCACCTGCCTCTGTCTCCGGAGAGCTGGGATTAAAGGTGTATACCACGATGCCCAGCGTACTCAGTATTTTTGTGTCAGTCTTAATTTTGAATTTTAAATATTCTGGCCAAGGATGCATTCATGTAGTGTATGAAACCTCTACATAGTGAGACCCTGTCACCCAGAAATGAATATGTCAGGTGTGGCAGAATGTGCCTTTAATCCCAGCTGTGGGGAAGCAGAGGCAGGTGGATCTTTGTGAGATCCAGGCCAACCTGGTCTACATAATGAGTTCCAGACTAGCAGGGGCTTCAGGAAGACCCTGTCTCAAATAAAGGGGTTGCGGGGGGAGGGAACTAGAGAAATAGTTCAGTGGTTAAGAGCACTGGCTGCACTTGTAGAAGACCCAACTTTAGTTCCTAGCATTCACAAGGGGATTAACAATTGTCCTTAACTCCAGTTCAGGGTATCCAGTGCCCTCTCTGGCTTCTGTGGGCATTGTACAACACAGATACATTTTCATACATCCAGGCAGAGCACCCATACACATAAAATAGAAATAAATAAATTGAGCTGTGCATGGTAGCACATGCCTTTAGTTCCAGAAGGCAGGCAGATATCTGTGGGATTGAGGCCAGCTGGGACTACAGAGAGACCACACGGAAAAATATGCATTTTCTTGATTTAGCAGTTTAAATAGATGGGATGATATGTGCATGTATAAATAAAACCTAATTTTATTGTCAGAGTTTTGCGCTTTTTTTTTTTTCATAAATCAGCCTTTTCTAACCTTACAGACATAAATCATGTGAGCAACCCTCCGATATTAAGTAGATACTAAGACAGAGAAAAGGATAGCATAAATACAGAGAAGCTGGCCCTGATGGCACACACCTGCAGTCCCAGCACTGGGGAGGGTAAGGCAGGAAGATCAAAAGTCAAGGCCAGTTCAGACCATAGACCCTATCTCAAAAGACAAATGAGGAGATGGCTCAGTGCATAAAAGCACTAGGGACATAAGGCTGATGACCCAAATTCAATACCCTGAACCCGTGCTGGGTATGGTGATATGAATCTGTAGTTCTAGCACTACTACCTCAGTATAGATGAAGACAGAATTGTTCAAAACTCACATGCCAGCTAGCGTAGAGTATGTGGAAAAGCAGCAGAATCAGCAGGAGAGACCCTGCCTCAGCCAGGTGGACGATGAGACAGAGTCCCAGAGGTTGTCCTTGACTGCTACATGTATGTCAGTATGAGTACACCAGCACTCACACTAACAGATTACCTAACTAAATACTTTGTAGCTATTGCTAAACTGTCCTATAAAGATTATTCTGCTTTAAAGCCTTGAATGTTTAAAAAAAAAAGAAAAAGAAAAAGAAAAGAAAGTTCTAGGGGCTTAGAGAGATGACTCAGCAGATAAGAGCACTGACTGTTCTCTAGGAACCCAGGTGGACGATGAGACAGAGTCCCAGAGGTTGTCCTTGACTGCTACATGTATGTCAGTATGAGTACACCAGCACTCACACTAACAGATTACCTAACTAAATACTTTGTAGCTATTGCTAAACTGTCCTATAAAGATTATTCTGCTTTAAAGCCTTGAATGTTTAAAAAAAAAAGAAAAAGAAAAGAAAGTTCTAGGGGCTTAGAGAGATGACTCAGCAGATAAGAGCACTGACTGTTCTTGCTAGGAACCCAGGTTCCATCCCTACATGGCGTTAACTGCTGTCTGTAACTCCAGTTCCAAGGCATCTGGCCTCCACAGACACTGAACACACAAGTGCACTTATGTACATTCAGGCGAGATATTCATACACATAAAATAAAGGTTTTTAAATTAACTAAATTTAAAATAAAAGTAGTTGTAACCAATGTGGAAACACACATCTGTAATCCCAGCCTTTGAAAAGAGGAGGCAGGATTGAGAGTTTAAGACTAGCTTCAGCTACATGGTGAGCTGGAGGCCCTGTCTCAGAAAATGAAAGAAAAAAAAGAAAGAAAGAAAATATAGGCTAGATGTGATGGCACACCTGTAATCCCTGTGCTCAGGAGGAAGATGAGCTGAAGGCCATCTAGGCTGCATGGTGAGTCCTGGACAATCTGGGGACATAGGGGAGACTTGGCTTCAAGAAGCAGAAGAAAAAAAATTAAGGTGTTTGTGGTTTTATTGTTTTTAAACCTTCCTGTTAATTTCTTTATGGAGCATTAAACTGAGAACCATAATCTGTGTGATGTTTATCTGCTGTCGTCGTTCTTCGGTTTCTTCCTTCTCAGTGTTCTATTGACTTGAAGAAAAATGTACTGGTGATTGGCACCACAGGCTCACAGACCACCTTCCTTCCTGAGGGAGAACTACCAGAGTGTGCCCGGTTGGCGTATGGAACTGGGCGAGAGGACATTCGGCCAGAAGAGATTGCAGACCAAGAATTAGCAGAAGCCATTCAAAAATCAGCAGAGGATGCAGGTATTTGGACTGGCCACACTCTTGAAAAATACTTGCGCTATTAGTGCAGTAAATGCCTTTCTAGTTTATAATCAGCTTCGTCACGCAGTAGCAGGTATGTTCATTGTCTTTTTGCCTACTCTCTCCATTTCTTAATTCAGTGAAGAGAAACTCATGGGGCTAGAGATGTAGCTCAGCTGGTAGAAGTGCTTGTGTAGCATGCACAAAGTCCTGGGTTTGACTCCCAACACCAAATAAACTAGGAGTGGTGGTGCACACCTTTAATCCCAGCACTCGGAAGGTGAAGATAGGAAAATCAGAACTCAAGGCCACCCTGGAATACATGAGATCCTGTCGTGAAAAGGGGGAGAGAAGGGTGAACGTGAGGTGTGCAGTGAGATGTCTCTGCAGGTAAAGCTGCTTACCATACAAGCCTGCTGACCTGAGTTTGATTCCTGGAACCCATGTAAGGGTACAAGGAGAACCAACGCCACAGAGTTGTCCTCTGAACCTCCATATGCACTCTGCCATACACACCCATTTACACATAATAATAAAGGGTTTTTTTAAGACTTACATTTAAGCAGATCAAGAAACGGTTATCCAGGTGTTGTAGCATATATGCCTGTAATTCCAACAGTCAGGCTGAAGCAGGACGATCACGAGTTCAGGCTCATCCGGATTATGTAGTGTGCCTGGTCTCAAAAAATAAGAGAAACCAGGCCAGGGGTGGTGGCGCATGCCTTTAATCCCAGCACTTGAGAGGCAGAGGTAGGCGGATTTTGTGAGTTCAAGGCCAGCCTGGTCTACATCATGAGTTCCAGACCAGCCAGGGTTACATAGTATGACCCTGTCCAAAAAATAAGAATTGATTGCTGTATCTAAGACTGGGTAGTTTTTTGCTTAGATACTTCTTAAAGGAGGTTCTGCAGGAAGCAGGGAAGTTTGATTTCACAGTATTTCTCTGAAACTGACTTGTTTTCCTAACCCATTCATTGATTTTGAAGAAAGACATTGTCACTCTAACCAAACCAGTCTAAACTGCTCGAGTTTGATTCCCAGCACCCACATGGCAGCTACGAACCGTCCTTAACTCCAGTTTCAGGGGAATCCAAAACCCTCTTCTGACCTCCGTGGCATTGAACGACACGGGTGCACTCACATACATGCAGGCAATACACTCGTACACATAAAATAATAAAATTTTTTTAAATTTGTGGAAAGTGCTGTCAGTGCGAGAAGAACCAATGTTGAGCATAATCGAGCATCATCAACATGGTGCTTTATGTTATTACTGTGATCCCAGTGTCATCAGGCCATAGAGCTCTGTGGAAATCAGATTCTCTTCCACCTTCTCAATTGAAAGACAATGAGTTTCCTGAGTAAATGGAAGCAAGGCAGTTTTGCTGAAATCTCCCATCTGTTATAGAACAGTATCTCTGGGATGCATTCTCTACAAGATGAAAAAAATTAACTTTTTGTTTTAAGCAAGTTATTTTGAGTCTTAGGCCGGGATTCTTCATCTGTATAATCTCACACATTGCTTTCTTTAGTACAGTAAAGTGTATTAGAACTATAGGTTTATGGAACAGCTTGTTCGTAAGGACTAAAGATAACAAACCATAAAAATGAGCTTCAGGGGTTTTTGCCACGTTCTCCTGGAGAACCTTTGGTGTGTAGCCTTGGGCTGCTGGAATGGGCAGGCATAGTGATGCAGCTGTCCATATCAGCCTTGTTCAGCCTCACACTCATACACATTGAATAAAAATAATAAAGTATTTTAAAGGATCCACCTTTTATCCATGAAACCTTTGTTTACTAGTATAACTTGTACTAATTTTTCATTTAAATAATGTAATAATTCTACAACAGATCTTATTTGTTTGGAGAACTGACTGCTCAGAATCTTTGAAATCAAAATTCTGTGAAAGTATTTTCAGAAAGCTAGTTCTTTGGTTAATATGTCAAAGTATGTTTGCCTTTTATATTAACTAAAATAAGAATAGGCACTCATCTAATTTGTTTTCTGTAAATTGAACATAAGAATCTAAGTCAGGGAGGAACTTAGTCAGACTTGGTTTGCTTTCTTCTAAAAATGATTCTTGAGCCAGATGTGATGGGACATACCTCTAATCCCAGCACTCAGATTTCGAGCTCCAGGCCAGCCTGGGATGCATAGCAAGACCCTATCTCGAAAAAAAAAAAAAAAGAAAGAAAGAAAGAAAGAAAGGCCGGGCATGGTAGCGCACGCCTTTACTTTAGTCCCAGCACTTGGGAGGCAGAGGCAGGCGGATCTCTGTGAGTTCAAGGCCAGCCTGGTGTACATAGTGAGTTCCAGGATAGCTGGGGCTACAGGGAGACCCTATCTCAAAAAGATGAAAAAAAGAAAAACAAGAATCTCCATTGAGAATTTTCGGAAGTCATTGCTACATGTGTTCACTAAACTTCTTAAGTCTTCTCATGATGTTGATGGGTTTAATTTTTTTTTTTAACCTGTCTTATATTTGCCCATAAAATCTGTGCAGAACTGTGAAATTAAAAATCTGTTGAAGTTGCTGGGTGTGGTAGCACAGGCAGATCTCTGTGAGTTCGAGGCCAGCCTGGTCTACACAGTGAGTACCAGGGGAGCCAGGGCTACACAGTGAGACCCTATCTCAAAAAACGAAAGGAAAAAAAAAATGTGTTGAAGCTGACACCACATTGTATTTTGAGAGAACTGAAGCAACAAGTAAAGTTTTGGGATGCCCATACCATGGAAACTCCCCGACTTTGATTCTCCTGACTCCTGATTTTAAGGACGGCAGTGGAGCAAAGACTGCAGCCCTGCATGCTGTGTGGTTTGCGTTGTTAACCCACGTTTGCTTGTCTGTTTCCTAATCCAAACAGAGCGTCAGAGGCCATGATGCATGTAGTGTGTGTGCTGCAGCTGGAGTGGCCCCCAGACCAGGTATTTATAGACCGAACATTAAGCCTTCCATCCAGTGGTCATCTGTGCTCTGAAAGTTTATCTGGAACCATTTCGGGAGTTTGCTTTTCCATTCTCCATCCCTTCCTCTTCTATCTGCTTGCAACTAGCCTTTGCATACATTTATGTATATGTTGGTATATAGCCATATGCAAGTATAAAGTCCTGTTTAAAACAGTCCAAGGAGGAAGTCTCAGAAAAAAGTGTTCATTATACCTACCGCCTCTGACAGCTGGGAAGGTCAGATCAAGAATATTGGCATGGCCCAGCATGATTGCACACACCTTTAATCCCAGCACTGGGGTGACAGAAGCAGGCAGATCTCTGAGTTGGAGGCCATCCAGAAGTACATAGTGAGACCCTGTCTTTAAAAGTAAATTTAAAAGAATATTAGCATCACAGCATTTTGTTGTTGGAGAAAACTGTGCCTTTAGGAATATCTTAAGTCCTTTACCTGTAAAAAGCTGAAAGCGTACCCCCCCACCCCCACCCCACTCCATTGTTCATGACTTCTTGGGGTTTATAGGAGGGCAGAAATTTTCATCTTGTTCAGGAAGAAATGGAAACTTGAGCCAGATAACTCGTCCAAGCACAGGGTCAGCAACGGCAAGCTGGCATAGTGATGCACTCCTGTTGTCTTGCCCACTTGGGAGACTGAGGCAAGAAGGTCCAGGATTTGAGACCAGCCTGGACTACATTAGAACTTACATTTTTTTCCACTCAATAAGAACTGAGACTTTGCCTTTTCTTCTGCCCTTAGCCTGACAGATGCCTATAGCAAGGCATTCTGTGCCTTCCCTAGGATGTAAATAAATTTAAGTCTGTATTCAGATCAGCCTGAGTATATTAGCTGCTTTTGTATGAAGAGGAAGGAAAATTGTTTTTAAGTCAACGGAGGATTTGATATAAAGGTTTGGAAGCTGGTTGTAAATAGATTCATAGTATTTCTGTCTCTGTGTCTCTCTCCTCACTCTCACTTTGGGCATAGTAGGCATGTTAATGTCCATTAACCTCTCTAATCGCCCTGTAGTACTGTTCAGCCTCAGAAGGACTATGTGCTACTCTTGATAGTGTGCACAGAGACCACTGAACTACATCCCCAGCTCACCTGCAGCTCATTCCTGACACATCAAGAGTCCTTTACCATACTTCCCATGGTGCTGGTGTGGATATTTTATTAACATCATTTTTTTTTTCCTGTTAGTATTAGTCCAAAATTGAACAGCTTCCAGAGTCAGCTGTATTGATTAGATTGATAAAACTAGTAATGGTCTAGATTTAGTGGGTATAGTTCCAGCCACTACAAAGCTGTTTGCTTTGTAAGGAAAGATTGTTTCTTAAGTCAGTGACTGAGCTGTGATCAGGCCTGTGATACCAGTACTTAGAAGATGGTGGCAGCAGAAGTAGGAGTTCGAGGCCCTATCTCAACACCCCCACACACACACACACCAAAAAAAAAAAAGATGAGTAACTTCCTGGTATGACAGTTTGTCTTCTCATGTTGCTGACCAGTATTGATTAGAATGATTGCATGACATTTGACTCAGAATGAGTGTTGAGTGGCTCCCATGCTGGGTACTCACGTTCAGCACAGAGTCTCCGAGTTTAATTTAACCCCGTAGTGCATTGTTTCCAGCCTCAATAGCACCCCTTTGCTTTTAATTAAAGGTATTATGAGTGTTCAGAGACTATTTTTCCAACAATGCCAGAAGAGTTGGGGCTGTTTAATGGCATCATTACAGCATCTTCACTGAGCTGGTGTTTAACCCTGCCATCTTGTTGAATCTAAGTAATTGCTGCCTATTGAAGAACTGTTGTGCTATCCCTCCACCTTTCCTCCTTGTCTTAATTAAAGCACTTAAATGTTCTTAGTTTTGTAGTGCTGTACTGAGGCTGCGGTATTTGGAAGCTGGCCATGGTGGCACATGCTGTAGTCCTTGAGGCTTAGGCAGGATTATTGTCACAACTTTCAGACCAGCCAAGACTACATAGCAAGACCCTTAAACAAACCAAAAAAGACTGGCGATATAGCTGGATTAGTAGAGTGCTTCCTTAGCATGCATAAAGGCTTAGTCCCCAGCACTGCATAAACTGGGAATGGTGGTACACACCCAAAATTCTAGCGTTTGGAGACTGAAACAGGAAGATCAGAAGTTTAAGGTCATCGTTTGTATTGAGTTAGAGGCCAGCCTGGGATACATGAAACCTTGTCATAAATAAATAGTTGCAGTATTCAGTCGATGAATAAGATTTACTGTTTCGTCTTTGGCTTTATTTTTATTTTTGTTTTTTGAGTTGAGTGCTCAGTTTTATCATGAATTAGGGGAAGATCAGGTACAAACAAAATACAGTACTTCTTTGCCTCCTGGAGGTCTCCAGACATTCTCATAGCTACTCCTGTCCAGTCCCAAGAACACTTGGTTTTGGACTGCCCCTTTAACCTGTGCTTCATTTGAAACATGAAAATGTGCATTGGAGCCTGTGCTGGTGGCTTATGCCTTCAATCCTAGCACTAAGAGGCAGAAGCACAAGGATCGCTGCTAGTTCAGGGCTAACCTGAGCTTCACATAGTAGTGAGTTGCCCACCTGGGCTACAGAGTGAGAACCTTTTGAAACAGAGTGAAAAAAAAATATGCCTTGGCATGAGAATCATCCCATGCAAATCTCACAACATCACCGGGAATAAAGATGCGTACCTGCTCAGGATGGTGATGCCCTCCTCTAATCCCAGCATTCTGGAAGCTGTGAGAGGAGTATCTCAAGGTTAAGGCCAGCTTAGGCCATGTAGTGAAACTCTATGGAAATAAATAAATAAATAAATAGATAGATAGATAGATAGCACAGGAGATACACGTCTTCAAGCCATTATGGAAGTGCTTATTGCCAGTGCTTAACCATTAAATTATACTAAGAGTGTTCATTAAGAACATGTCCGCTTCAGATTCCATGCTTTGTGTACCACAATGAGAGAGATTCTTGGATTAATTCTTTTTTTAAAACCTATAAGAGAACCCTAACCCTAAAGGCCTGCTTTGAGTCCGTCCGTGAGTCTTGCTCTCTGACAGCTTGGTGGTCCGCTAACTGGTCTTTTCTTCCCTCCTGTTGCAGAGAAAAGCAGTAAAGAATCTACCTCACTGGGAAGGTCATCACCACCGACTTCAGATGGATCTAACCATCCAGCGCATTCTTCAGGGCACAGTTCTGAGACTGGCAGTCCTACGAGTCTCGCTCACTCTGTCTCTGCTTCAGTCTGCCCCATCAAGCCCAGTGACCCAGATAGCATTGAACCTATAGCTGCGGAGGCCATGAAGGCTTCAGCTGAATTCCACATGAGCTCTGAGAAAGAAGAGTGTCTTCCTCTTCAGGATCTGCCTGTACTCGCTTCCTCAGCAGACGGGAGTCCAGCCATGCCTTTGCATAATTCATCCGAAGCATTTGCTGCAGATAATCTGGAGAAATCTACTCAAAGAAGTACCCAGGGCCTCAAGTTTTATCTCCACATGAGACAGGAAACTAGTGTGTCTGTCACAACTACTAGGATGCATGAACCACAGATGCTTGTGGGTGGAAACTGGCATCCAGGAAATCAGAGCCCAAGTCAAGTGAATGGCCTCGAGCAGCACCAGGAAACAGGGACCGAACAGCCTGAGGCTGGACAGCAGAGTGTACCACGTGACCAAGACTCTCTGTGTGACATGGGGGATGTTGAACTTCATGCAGAAAGTCAAACGGACCAAGAAGAAATTATCAGTTTGGAAGCTACTGTGAAAGGAGTTGAGCTGCAGATGAACACTTGTCTTCCACATCCAGAGAAAAACTCTCTCCCTTCAGGATGCTTTAGCTGTTCAAGCTCAGAAACACTGATGGAAATTGACACAGTTGGACAGCCCCTGGTTACTGTGCATAATTCAGCAGGCAGTCAGGCCACTGTCCAGATCACCAGTACATCAGCTGTCACTTCAGATAATCCCTTGATGGAAGTAGAAACATCAAAATGTGATCCCTCATTTGAACATTTGAATAATTGTATCTCTACTCAGGATTTGCAGCCCCCAGAAAATAATGTTGAAATGTCTGGAACAAATAAAGAAGATGGCAGCTCCCCTCCCTCTGTAAGTGTCTGTGGCAGTGCTCAGCCCTCTTTGGAGTCAACAGAAGAATCTCGTTCATCTGTAACAGCAGCCTTGAAAGAACTTCATGAACTTTTGGTCATTCGTTGTAAGCCGGCTTCAGAAAATACATCTGAGGTCATTACCTGTCAATCAGAAACAGCTACCGAGAACCACGGAGGTATTCTAGACCTTTCAGGAAGGTGGACCCAAAGTGAACAGACCCACAGTGACCACTCTCCACAAGTCTCCTATCACCAGGCCACATCTGAATCAGTGAAGACAGAAACGGCAGGCACTGTATCGTGTGCCGGTATAGAAGATAGAGAATGTGCTAGCATAGGGCCAGGTACAGGTTTGTCACCTGACAAAGGAGGGGTCCTCAGATCGAGGGATTCAGTCAGCAAGAGCTGTTCTGTCTCCATAACCTCAACTAAATCATCTAATCAGTTACAGTACACCTCAGGTGTAGAAATTTCACCCAGACTTGTAGAGGGTGGGGAAGATGCACACAGTCAGACGTCTGAGCAAACTGAGTCTTTGCCATCCAGTTCCGTACTGGTTAAAGAGTTGGGTTGGGGCAAACAGAATCCAGTTCCAGACAGGCCTGGAACCCGAGAAGTCTGTCCTGAAGCTGCAAAGCCATCTCTTGAATTGGAGCCACCTGCCACACGGCCACCCTCAAACCCCTCCATTCTTCCACCATTAATTTTTCCTGCCACAGATATTGAGCGGATTGTCCGCTCTGGCTTCACTTTGCAGGAAGCTCTCGGGGCTCTGCATCGCGTTGGTGGGAATGCAGACCTTGCACTTCTTGTTTTACTAGCAAAGAACATTGTAGTTCCTACGTAATTGTGGGGGATTGGGATAGACCATGCTCCATTCCCTTTAAAGAGCTCTCGGTCCACACGGACACACCGCATACACAGTGTATGTAGAAGCCGGCAGGCAGAATGTTGAGCCAGATTTTTTTTTAAGATTTTTTTTTTCGGCCAAAGTAATTTATGATCTCTTGTCTGATGAATTTGTCTATCCTACTTGTTAAAATTGGGCCTTTAAAAAAAAATGTATTGGCAGTATGTGCATACAAAAGGTTTTTATTTGCATTAAGATGATGTATTCTGGAATAAAGTGGATGGTTTGTGTATAGCATACCAGTTTAGAATGAGTGCTTTGAAAAGCAGAAGCCATGAGGAACCCCACCTGTGCAGCTAGAAAAGACCAGCTGCCACTGGGCTGTGTCTGCTGTAGGCTAACAGGAAGCTAAAGAATAATCAATAACTCTAGAGTTGTATGTTTTCATTTGTGTGCTCAGGGTTTGACATTTTATAGGGTGAGTGGGAAGTCTTAAAAATGGGGTTGTCTTGCGCATTGTAGGCTGCAGCGTGGACCGATGGCCATATACTTCATGACATCAGGTGGGGTATTGTGGGGATTTACATTGAGTGAGACATGGTGCTACCCAGAATTAAAAAGGGAAGAAAAGACCCCAGTCTTAATTCCATTTACAAGTGTCAAGGACTGTGAGTGGGAACATGGCTTAGATAAAACACTGGAATACGGTAAAGAGTGGGTTTGCTAGTATCTCCCCGAGAACACCTCAACCTTTCATGGCGTGGTCAGTCATGGGTCGACTCCTGACAGCAGTGTATCTCTTTTTCTAAACCCACCTGGGAAGTTCTCCAGAGGCTCTGTCGAGCTGAGTCAAATTGTGGTGTGTCATGACCCTTGTCACTGGTTCATCTTGGTGCTTGGACTGGTCAGTCTGTGAGTGTCCTTCATGGCAGTGAAAATAGTGACCGAAGTTTCTGACTCAAGTGGCCTTGTTACGGTTTGCCATCTCTTTCTTTCCTCAGGAGTTTCTTCTGTAGGCATTTCTTTTTTTAAGCAAGAGTCATACTTGTGTTTACCATGTCAAGTGAGAGAGGCATATGTGACGTACTTAGGTGGCCTTTTGTTATGAGGACTCAGCCTTGAAAGTCGTTGTCCTGTGAGCCCCACTGTGCAATAATCACTTCCTGGAAAATAAACTGTTAGGCTCCTGGCAGGAATCTGGAATCTGATTTTCCTGAAAAGGATTTTGAGAATAATTCCTGATTCCAAGTGATAATTTGCAATGTGTTGAAATGGGAACCTCGGAAGAGCGACTTCTGAGCTTAGCATGCACTGGTTCTGTCTAAAAAATCTCTCTGAAAGCTTGTTCTTTGCATCTAAAGTTATTGTTCAGTCAGACAGGCTCATGTCTCAGGAGTTTCTGAAGCTTTAGGGGCACTTCAGTTGTCCTTACCAGACTCTCCTCTGCCGTGTTTCAGCGTGTGCCGAGACTCACTTCAGTGATGTGGTGGATGACAAGTCACGCGGCATCTTGATCCTTCCTGAAACAAGGAAATGGTTGGTGGAAGGAGCTGTTCACTGCTTTCCAGAGGGTGCTCAGAACCACAGCTTAGCCAGGCTGTTTTTAGAATGTGCTTTCTTTCAGACAGCCACCGTTTGTTGACCCTTTTGCCTGCCCTACACCAAAGATGTACAATGCACTAGGATACTGCTTTTAGAATTTGTGTCAGCCAATGTAGAACTGTGATCGTAATTAAGTAGTTGGTGCTGTGGTTGAGGGGAAATCAAGTAGAAATGCAGTGAGGCCTGGTTTTGGCTTTATGGGTGGTGCCTTGGGGATATGCTTTAAGGTTACAGATCTTTGGGTTCACAGGGTGAGGTGGGTAGAGGAAAGGACTAATGACAGTATATGCCTCCCAGAAGGCCACCTGTGCAGAAGTGAGCCTCCCAACTTCTATATGGACAAAGACACAGCCCAGTGGCCTGACACTGAATTTTTACAGTGGATGTTGGGGAGACAGGCCCAGGTGGAGTATATCATACCAATCTGGAAAATAATTTCATTACAGTAGCTTTTCATGTGTGTCTATATTTATTTTTGAAAAACCGAGTCGGCCTGTAGCTGTATGGATGTTCTTGCTAGGAATACTCTGACTTAAACTCACTTGCCAAATGTCTTGTCCCTTTTGACCGTTACTTTCTTTTCAACATAGTTGTTTTTGATTTCTTACATCTTCTGCCCAGCATTTGTATAAAAAGTTAGGAATTTGTTAGGAATTGATTGGCTTAAATTGAGCGGTTCTAGAACACAAGAGGACATTAAAAACCTCACACTAGTGGACCCTGTCAGTTTTCATTTAGTGGTTGACACTTTAAAAACTCCATAAAGAGCATAAATTATAGCTAACGTACCAGGAGTAAGATCACATCATTGTGAACCCCTCTGGTGTCAACAGAACAAATCACAGCCGTAACCAGCATGGGGCAGCTTTACTGGACAGTTCCTTTACCAAACCATAACGGGCAGTTCTGTGGTCAGCACTTCTCTCCAGTGGTAGACTCTGTTTATGCACCAAAGAGGATTTTCCTGTAAAACTTGTGCCATTTCCCAAAGTTGTTTCCTGCATAGAAAGATGCTCAGTGGGCAGATGGCTCACCCTCAGCTAGGGGTTTTGCCCTTTGATTTCTTAAGGATGGTTTTCCAGTTTTGTCAGTTTGGGCCTCCAGACAGCCACAAGCCTTCATCCCAAAGTTTGGGCTTTAAATGTTAATGGATGAAGACGAGTTGCTTGGTAAAGGAAGCTGAGTAGATGGTGGACAGATGTGTGTGAACACTTCTGCCTTGCAGCCTGCACTCTCAGAATGTCTCTGGATATACTAAAGGGAGACACAGCTCGGGGTGTTTTCCCAAAGCATTTCTTAGAAGAGGGTGAAGGGGGTACGTAGGCGTGGGATAGGAGACCTGGCATCACTGATTTTATAACCAGCTCGTGTGGAATATGCCTGTTGTTCCCTCTCTAAAGCTTTCTATCTCTAGCGGAAGCCATAAAAATTTGTTTAGACTTTTCAGCTCGTGTATAAATAAATGTGTAAGCTCTCACATAATATATGGTGACTGACAAATGTCTTTACATAGGTTAAAAACAAGCAACTTTTATATCTACAGACGTTCTCCACGTCTGGTGGCTTTTATTCCCACCATGTATATAATAAACTGCCTTGCAAATAGCTGTCCAGGAGAGTCACAGTGTGCTTTGTTTTGTTTGGTTTTGATTTTGAGACAGGATCTCACTATAGCCCAGGCTGTCCTAAAACTTACAGCAATTCTCCTGCCTCAGCCTCCAGAGTACTGGGATTACAGGCGCTTGCCATTGTGCCCAATTTTCTCAGTGCATTCCAATTGCCTTTCTGTACCTGTTTGCCGTCTGTGGTGAGGGTGAGTGTGGTGTTTGAATGCCTCAGTGACAGTGCATCATACATAAGCTCTGGGGTGTGACTCAGTGGCAGAGCACATGCTTAGCATGTGAGGCCCTGGGTTTGATGCCACACGTGCGTGTGCATGCACGCACACACACATACAGACTCCCTTGATCTTACATTCTCTAGCACGAAAAAAATAAGACATAAACTTGGTGACTTAGTGTAGTCTATGGCTGACCAGAAAGAAAAGGTTACCATGCCTTTACCCTCCTCGAAGATGAAGGTTCATCTCAAGAGTTGCATAAGTGTTTTGATTTTTCCTGAGAATACCAATTCCTCCTTACAACAAAAAGTCAACTCAAAGCCCCATCCTTGAGGACTAGAAATTGAGCTCCTGGCATATGTTACAGATAGTGATAGAGCCACCATATTCTTCTAGAAGTTCATTGAATAAAGAACTTTGGGGTGAGACTTTGATGTACTTGCTTCTCTTTTGTGCCTTAGTTTATGGTTTTTAATATCAAGCATCATATTTTGTGAGTGTCAGGGAGAGGCTGGAGGGCAGTGCTCCTGGACACAGCCACAGGACACCATCCTCAGGCTTACTGCTGTCTTGCACTAAACACTAGGTTTCACCCAATAGGAGTTTCTGTATCCTGTATACCAGGATGGTTTCCAGATGTTTCTTACATTTTCTGTTGTATTTTTAGTGTTGTGATAGAGATCAGATCTTATATTTTTTTATAGGAAGCCAGCCACTCCCTTCAAGACTGTGCAGTATGAACAAGAATCAGTGGATTTGTTCATCAAACATTAAGAACTCATGAACTTCATGGGCTCAGCAGTGACTAAGACAGAATGGGTCCCTGCCTTAGGATGCTTTTGGTTTAGGAGAGTGACAGGAAATGAATTTAGCTAAGATGTTTTTACCTCTTGACATGTTTTTGGTTTTGAGATGGGGTCTCATGTAGCCCAGGTTGGCCTTGAACCCAGCAGTCCTCAAGTATCTGGGGTTATAGGGATATTCTATAATGAATGGCTCATATTCTTTTATTTTTAAGTTTACATTACTTGGGTACAGTTTAGAGCTACTTGGGAATAATCAAACCCACAATGGAATCAAATTTGGTAAATCCCAAATTATACTATTTTTAGTTTTTTGAAACAGAATTAGGATGAGGGAGAATGTAGTTAAGTGGTAGAGTACTTGACTAACATGCATGAATACCCCCTCTTCCAGTCCCCAGCACTGTGTAATCCAGACGTAGTACATACATGTAATTCAGCATTGGAGAGGTAGAGACAGGAAAGTCAGAGGTTCATGGTCATTCTTGGCTACATAGTTTGAGGCCAGCCCGGGATACATAAGGACTATCTCAAAGGGGGGGGGGGGCAGAAGGTTGGAGGTGTAGCTCAGTGGTAAAGTGCCTAGCATGGACAAGGCCCTGGGTTTGACCCCCAGCACTAAAAGAAGAAAGCAAACAAGTCCAGGTAAAACAAAAGACGCCCAAATACACGGAAGCAATAGCCTTCCTTCAGGATCTGTGCAGCAGCGTCCTCCCATACCCCTGAGCACAGTTGCTCTGGGATGTGACTGGCTGGACCGATGAGCATAGTAGCAGAGGCTCATCAGGTAGGTTGTGCAGGTTTAAAGCTGCTGACTGCAGCATGTGCAAATAGGACAGAAAAAGTAGCAAGCAATGGACCTGGAGATGGACTTGAAAGACTGCCATCTCTACAGGACATCTTCAAAGTGGCTTCAACCCGCCACTTAACAATACTCAGTATAAGCTTTCCTGAAGCACACAGAATCAGTTATTAGTGATTGCTGAGAGTTACAGTTTTCAAAAGTTTATCAGTTACATTTAAGTGGTTAGTAATTAGACCTTGGGGAGAGATGGGCTCAGAAACTGCTGAGCTGCCAAGAAAATGGTTCAAGATCATAGGAGTGAGTGATTTTCTTTTATCTAAAAGTTAAACTACAGAAGATCAGGTAATGGCATGGACTACAAGGTTAGGTTACTTTGTAGAGAACTGTCTAAGCACCAGAAGTGTTTATAAGGTTTGGGGAAGGGTGAGGCTGGGGCTTTTTTCCTTGGGTAAGTTCTTAAGGGAGAAATGTCTGCAACCTTGAATGAAGGCATCTGTGACCTGCAGAAGGGTAGACCTGTGCTCCTGCCAGATCCAGTCAGGGCCGTATGTTTGCAGGTTCTTATGGCCCCACAGATTTCTGGATTCACACCTTGCCACCTGAATGCCTAGCTTCATTCTCCTGACTCTGCTCATCCTGGTGACACATCAGAGTGATTCATCAGATTGAACTGGTTCTTTTCATCACGTAGTGATCATGAAAAATTATGTGTGCGTTTGTATTCCAAATCCATCTTCATGGCCTCTGGTCCCAAGAAAAGATTTGTTTACCACTTTCATAGCCATATTTGGCAGATCGTAAATAGGAATCCGTCTTGTTTAGTCTTGCAGTTGCTGTGTGTTGCTGGGGTTTTTCTGACTTTTTAAGCTTTTTGTGATTGCATCTTACAAGAACTGGCAAAATAGGCTTGTCAGTGGCTTGGTCACTCCCAAATGCTTGGAAAGTTAGGAAAACGAAAAGATTTGTTTACCACTTTCATAGCCATATTTGGCAGATCGTAAATAGGAATCCGTCTTGTTTAGTCTTGCAGTTGCTGTGTGTTGCTGGGGTTTTTCTGACTTTTTAAGCTTTTTGTGATTGCATCTTACAAGAACTGGCAAAATAGGCTTGTCAGTGGCTTGGTCACTCCCAAATGCTTGGAAAGTTAGGAAAACTTTTAGAACTTAAGGGAACCAATCTCA